AATCGCTTCAAGCAACTATAATAATAATATGTTCAAATCAGTTGAATTCATAACTTACATTTTCACATCCATGCCTGATGTTCACATTATCCTACCTTGACTCTCATCACGTTATCAGCGACATTTTAAAATCTGGTTCATGGTTTTAAGTGAATTAATATACTCCATATCATCAGTAAGGTTTAATTTAGAAAAAAAACAAACAGACTTTTCACTTATTTGAAAGATTTAACTACTCTCTGCTTTTCAACAGCATCCCGCTTCAGCATTCTCTTGAAATTTGACTACAGGAACTTATCTTTTACCTTTTAAGACATCAGAAACCATGCTTGACATCAACCGCGCTTAGGCTGGCCAGAAACATTCGCTTTATACTCCAAAAAGGGACGGTTGGGTAGCCCAGTGGATAAACGCTCGCTTGTCACGCCGTGGAGTCCAACATAAGCACAATGTGCAAAGCTCTTTTCTGGGTGTCCCCGCCCGATGTGCTTGAATACACCCGAATCGCGGGGAGTAAACTCCAACTCACTAACTCACTTCTCCCCAAAGAGATTGGGCTGTTCATTATATCTCCATCTACATGTATACTCATGTTTTACCCCAAATATACTCAAGGGTATCTAGAGTTACATTTATAATACTACATACAAAACAATCCGCCAACAACATGGGTACAATTGTGCACAGAGTATCAGTAGCTAAGGTATTAGCGATTTCCAAAATTCCAAATGGCCTAAAATCCAAAAGCTTTTCAATAAAATTGTGTTCCATTTAGTTTTGGGCATTAAAATGATGATAATGCATGAACACACATCGAATCAATTCATTTACGACATACTAGTTAAGCGTCAAAAGCATTTAATAATATTAAAGATTATGAAAGGGATGTTTTTCTTTAAAAGTCCATGAAAAACTGGATACTGTGGTGGGAAATGTACATTTACCAAGTCTTAATGTACATTTCTCTATAATTTATACATAGTTCGTCAACTTATATAGTTCACAATCAGCCACAACCAAGACTGACTGACTGACTGAGTTTGGTTTCACGCTTTTAGCGTATTCAAGCTACATCCTTAATTTGGGAGACGCAAGAAATGATGTACTTCACATTGTACCCGTATTAGGGGATTCGAACCAGGGTCTTCCGGTGGCCAGATTAGCAGCTTTAACCACTAGGCTACCCCACCGCCCGCCACAGCCGAATTACAGAATGGGAATGGTTTGTATGAACAAAGGAGTTTTCTATGTTTCCCTTACATTCCTATTAGACAAAGCATGTCTAAATTTTTGCCAAAGTTTCACTTTCGTTATTTGATCATATACTACCCATCAAAGTTTATACTCACCTGAACCCTCACTATATGGTATCTATATATTATGGTTACGCCGAGAAGATCGTTCTCCACCTAACTTGGGGGGAACCCACTACTTGAACTTTAATGCGAATGAATTGCACAAAGGATCATGCATCAAAATATAGAAAGCATGTGCAAATATATCGTTCATGTGAACAGCTGCGTTTTTATTGGCAGGTTTGTTGGGAAATCATGGTTACCGCTGATTTTTCGTCATTTCTACAGAACTTAAGGCAGTAAATGTTTTCGCGTTCGCGAATTTGTTTTACAATTTTATCAGTTCATGTGTAAAACGAGGTACCTTCTGACTGAGATGGAATATTTGCAAAATCAGAGTTTAGAACGGGTTTGACTACAGATTAAAATTGGCTACATTTACACTGAGTGAGTCTAAACTTTTGATGGGTGTAGTATATTTTGGGTGATACTGAAGATTGCACCGTTCATAGTTCTGCCGCCTCAGGACTCTATATGGCATGAGGTGGGTCAAAATAGTGGCGATATACACATGAAGTCGTATTGGGCTGAACAACATTGGAATAAAAATTCTGGAGTGTACTGGTATACGTTACATTTCAACCAAAGCATTACGGTACTTTCTGTAAATAGTAATTACATTTAGTGATTGACACTAAATCGCGGTTATCAAAACCATTCTCTTGCATCAACCGCATTTTGCTTCCTGCGTTCTCGTGTTTTGCTCTGCATTCTGTTATCTGCAGCCATGGTTACGTCCTTAGTTACCAAGTCACATCATGTATTAAACGCTTTGATGCCGATTACGTCACTTTCTAGATATCATTGGCCGATCTTATGGTGCCATTAGCTTCATTGGTAAAAATCATTACGATCTGTTCTTCATTTTAGATCATGCCGGAAAGGAAGGCGATATCAACCACCGGCTCGTGAGGGAAGGGGCCAAAGCAGCCAAAGAGACGCCGGCTGTCGCCAGTGGGTACAAGGTGGTAACATTTCTGGGAATGGTGAGTCCTGCAATAGTATATTAAATCGCTTCGCCCCCATCTGCATCGGTTGAAATTTCCGATTTCCACATCCCGGTAAAAGGCAATTCCCAATTATTCCGGGACAGCTTGAAGCAATTCTTAAATTGCTTTCAAACCAAGGTAATCTTCAGAACCGGTTGTCTCCCTACCGTCGTGTCTGACATTTCAGTTCCCTCTTCGCCCATCGCCATTAGCGTGTGGCGGCTCCGGAAATTGGTGCTCCCGCGTGGAAACCCAGGCCACCCGCTGACAAAATCTACAGCGGGAATTAAGGACAGTCTTTCAATACTTCCCTGAAAATGTGAACAGGTTTTTAGATAATAGCGAAAATGGAACTGGCGATAAGCTATTAGAGGCGATGGTGTCTCTCGTCCGCCGCCAGCAATGCTTGGGGGTAGAAGCCAATCGCACTGTTGGTGCATGGACATGGCATTTCCTTATTTTTATGTGGATTTACATGTCAAAACATTTTCACTAGGTATTTACAGGGAATGTTGTCATGCCTCTGAATCCATCACCTTAATGCTGCCTGGCTTGACGGGAGGGATGGAGGGTGTATGATCCACAAATAATTCCATCCACGGAAATAACGAGGGATCCCACAGCACATGCTGACACCCCAACAGATCAAATGCGTGCCAATACTGGGGTAGAATTAATGTCAAAAATAGTAAACATGAATTACCATTTAATATTTGTTGGGACTTCAACAGGGGGAACTGTCAACGTCAATCCTGTAAATACCCACTGAAATTAATGCCAGAACTGTGGAGAGTCTGAGTGCAACATCAGAGCTGTTTTCGTCCTGTCGTCCGTCGGGCGTCAGCTGCCACGGTGCAAATACACTTACAGCAGTATAGGCGAATGTCTGAGGCACCAACTCAGGTCAGCGTAAGTAACATGTTGGAATCTCTTCACTTGTATTCGCTGGTTAACCCTTCTGATGCACACTCATTGTATTATGGCTTTTCTATGCGGTTTTAAGCTTAAGTTTCCGGAAATTTTACCAGCGTCTTCAGAATGTCTAAAAATCTGTCATCAGTAGATGCTGTGGAGTGCGAGGAGGTTGTTGTTGAAAAGCTGAACAAAGAGGTCACCTAGGTAGAATGGCAGGTCCTTTTTGATGATCCACCGCTTCCTACATACCCAAGTATCACCAATCCCGGTTCGTTCGAAGAAATAGACGGTGGAATTCGGTCAGTAAGCTCTCTCTGATAATTTTTGGATTTACGTTGCCACCATTTATCCTTATCCATGGGGTGACTCTATAACGATAACCAACAAGACTGTTCTGTTTGTATTCGCGGCTTTAATGAGCTGTGGAGATGGTAAAACTGTCGTTAGACTTATGCAATGACATAGCTTCGTAGAGATGAAACACCAGTGGCCAGACTTATATGCACTTCGCTGAAGGCTAGACAAGCCGTGTTGCCATGCAGAAGCGTCATAGGGCATTGTTTGGCGATGCTTTTCGAACAAAATCACATTACATTTCACGTAAAGGGTATTATGACATTATTTTTAAAGTTTGTGGTGCTGTATTCTAAAGGTGGGCCCTAGTAGCCCTAACCTAGCCCTAACCGCTTGAATTAATCCTAATAAATGAAGATGCGTTGACCAAAGTGCATCCAACTGTATCCCCCTAACTGTATCCCTATTCTTCCAACTGTATCCCTAACATTAAGAGGTTCCACACACCAGACCTGTCCGGGGCTACAGGGTGGGCCCTTCTTCAACTGAAGGACAAAACATCCATTGACCTGCACACATCTCCTGTGTAACCTTCACCCCATCCCAGCACCCTAGACAGGTCATTTCCTGTGCCAAAGCGGTAATATACACACTAAGTGGGGCTTCTGGAACAAAGGGTATGGGATAGAATACTAAAACATATTATCAAAAACATACATACATTAGAATCAAGAAATGCCTTGGTAGTTCCGTACAGATATATGAATTTGGTCATTTTGTATTGGATCCAGAAAGGACTGCTCGAAGTGCTTCTGGTTGAAAACTTCAGGAAATACTATAAAATTTACTATAAGAATATAGGTGCATTATTGGGTGCACTGATTGAATACTTGTCTAGGGTGGATGCAAAATATACCTACCTTGAACTGTAGCTTCTCCTATAGACTTGAGGGACCCAGCCGATGGTGCCATCACCCCCACACACAAGGAACCGCACAGGGATGAGAGGGAGAAAGTGGCACCACTCAACGCAGGGGCCACTCTCCGGGGAATGTCATGGAGATCTATCACCCTAGTAACACAATACACAGGGTAATGAAAGCATTTTGTACCCAGATGGTGGTGATTGGCCCAAAATAGTCCTACCTGAAACTACCAAACATACCAAAGAAACTGTATAGTATTAATAATGCTTCTTCCCATGCCAAGCTCTCCCTGAGGATAGAGCAGGGTCAGTTCACATTTTGTCCCACAAAGCAAGTGGTTTAATATGTTTGTACTCAAATTCAACGTATGCAAGGAGGCCCAGATAAAGCTGCGTATCCGAGGGTAAAATCATAGAATTACGCGTTGAAAATAATTGTTGTTGCATTACCAATTCACGCATTTAAAATGTTAGATAGATGAAGTTTAAAACAAATCGTCACGGAATATATTTATAAAAATGAAACTTTAGCGTAATAGAAAAAGACATGATTGCTATCAAGTTCTACTGTTAGTATAGGACAAGTGTTGTACTGTCAGTTATAGGATGAGTGATTTTTTATGAAATCATTTCCATTATATTTAAGTTTGGTTTTGATTACGCTGCCTCATTTTTCCATTGACTGCTAGTTTACAGTAACATCGGTAAAATGTGTGAATTTAAATGGCTTCCGTATTTTACCCCATTCCGTAATCATTACATCTTCTGCTTACCACATCATTCATGAGGTCCGATATAACCTTAGTGTTGATTATATATATTTTACATAAAACTGTAATTAAAATTACACAATGCTAGGTTATATTTCTTTGGGGTTAAATAATAGTACTCTGTATTATATTTTACTGCCGACTGCGTCAGAATTCGCCCGATTATATTATTGTGCATGTTTGAACTTGATCACCGGAAACATGTGCACAACTGATTTAACTATTTCGGCTCAGATACACACGGTAATCTTAATCCCTGCAAATAATACAATGCCCAGCAAAACAACTTAGAACTTAAAGGTAAAAATAATCTTGTCTAGTGATCTTTAATTGCAAATTTTACGTCTCTACTGACAAAGTCGTCTTCTGTTTGTTTGTTCGCTTGAAGTGATCGATGTTGTTTTCCTTCCCCTACCTGAAAAAGTTTGTGAAAGCGTAACCCATGGATAAGGCGACCCCCTTCTACAGACTGCTTTTTGGGTCCTCAAAATTAGGACTTATAGCGGTAATATACGGTAGGTATGACATAAGGCCAGAACATGCCGTCTTAGTAAAACTTACTCAATGGCATAAACTCAATGGTGAGAATAAAATGACTGATATCACACACATATTTGAAGCAGTGGGTAACAGAAAAAGACATACCCACTCAACATTCATAATACCCACTCCAAAAATACAGTGGGTACAGTACCTACATGAGCTAAATCTTATCTTCTGGATTAGTTGCCTGCAAATGCGACCAAGCATGGGTTACTGAGAGACCAATTCTTGAATCTTCACTGGTCTTAACTCAGATGAATGAACATACCTGTGCTGGGTTTCAGTATTGCCGCGGAGATGCTTGCAGAACGTAATTCCCCCATCATTTGTTCCCACTCTTCCTGTTGCTATGACAATCCGGGAGACCATTCTGGAATGGAAGGTTTGCGGACGAACTTCCACAATGAGATGTTTTACGACCTTTGAGCCCTACCCACTTAAAGTTCAAAGGCAGTTCCGGAGTTACAATTTCTTTACAGTTGGCTATATCACAGATATTTCTTATTGAATTTTAGTGCGTCAGTGATGATGGCGGGCGGCTGACTGGCACAGCAAGCATCCGCCCGATCCACACAGCTCTGGGGAGTTGCCACAGTCTTCACCACACACATCACAGGCGGCTGCACAAAGGGAGGTTGCCACCTGGAATCGCACTGGTGATGCGTTACGCACCATTAATGCACACCTGTTTACGGTTGAACTTCTTCCACCTTGCTTATCATGCTGTGGCCAGTGCATTTACCGCGCGCGCATGCCGCCGCGAGGTCACACCTGGCCCGTGAATGATGTGGTACACGCTGATGTTGTGCAGTGATGTGTAGGTTCTGTAGAACAGGTTACATCATGAAACCATCGATGCCCCTTACGTGCTTATATCTCGGACAAGGCGCTTCCTTAGTGTCACAGGATACTGTATCACGTCGGTACAAGCCGGGACAGGTACCACAAAGAAGAGCATAGCCAACATTGCCCCAATGGCCTTATGCATTATCATCCATCTACAACACATGAAATACAATTGGTTGGAAACATACTATTGATCAAATAAAACAGTCAAACATTCACTCTGTATCTTGGTTGATTGCATGTCAATCGATATCACAGTTGTATAGTAGATCAATGCTCATGGCGTCAATCAGTGGATCGTCTGGTCCAGACTCAAGTTAATTACAGACCAATATCATACAACTGACATTGTGTTAAAGTATTAACAATAAACAGAAACAAACAAAACATGGTGTCTTGGCGAGGTAAGTTTTAGCTATATGGCGGTCTGTAAATAAAGCGAGTCTGGACCGATTCTTTCGATCAACAGCATGAGCACCCGATCTCATGAATTGGGATATGATGATAGCAAGCAGGTTACTGGAGATCCAATTCTAACCAAGATATTCCGCGGGTTAAACATGGTGTGACTGGCTACAACCCTATCACCCGTATGGTACTATCAGTTAAAGGTAAACAAAAGTATGGATTTGTTGTTTCTTCATGTAATACAAATTTGCTTATTATGGACTAATATTTGGCATGTTTTACTTGTGTGTTCAGGGCTATTCTTGCTGTCGCGGCTTAACACCTATATGTCTGGTGATAACAAAGGATTTACGATGTAAAAGAGGTTCAAGTCAAACTGACATTTGCTTTTTGTTGTTGATTTATGCTTAAAATGTAAAAGCATGACCAGTAACCATTAAGGTTACTGTGAAATGTTTTGGTGAGCGTGATTCGATCATATGTGAGGAAATTCAAAGGAAGATTCCCTTGGTTGTCAACAAAGGTCTTCCCAGCTCGTAGGAAGACCAGTTTGTTGAGTTGCTGACGCTAATTTGGCTACCTGATGATTACACAGGTTAATTAAAGAAGTGTCAACTGGGCGGCTTAAGGTGGGTTCTGTTTTCCTTTAAAATGCTAGACTGGAAATGGGTACAAACATGATACCTCTGAATTACATGATACCAAACATGATATACTAAAATCTAACCCCAAACCTAACCCTAAACCCTCGAAATAATCTAATAAATAGGAATACATTTCAAGCCCAGGGGTTACCGGCGGAACTCTTACCTAACATTTTCTCTGCCAATATACATTTATGACATCTCTTTCCAAAACTCGCCTGTAGATATTAATCAATGTAACTGTTTCAACACATTGTAGACCCAACGGGTTGCATACCGCTAGTGAGAACCTCTTCTGATGTCCCTTGCGAGACGACGACTTGAAACCACCAATAACAGCATCCTCCTGTGTATATGCGTGTTATACAACAACTGGCTAACGCTGACGTGTATTTTGTGACCTGTCACTGACTGGTGGGAGGAAACTGCGATCTCGAACATGCCTAGAATGTTCAGCGTATGGCGTGTATGCATTTAGAATGTTTATTTCCGTAAAAAACAATACTCATCATTGAAGAGTTCTACAGTTCAAGGGACGCAATCAAAGAATATTTTACACTTTGAATCAGCTCGGTCTAAAATCTATCAATCCGGCCATGCCTATATCTTCTAAGCATTCATATCCTCCCAGAAATTGCGTGAGCGGTCTGACTTCTCGACGGTTGGAATGTAGCGCCAGTGGTATATGGCCGTCTTAATGAAGACCCGCAGACAAAATACGGCGTGCATGAACCATCGTCGGATGTTGTCGAATGTTGGCACGTTCTCCGGATGTCCACTGAGGGAGGAGATACAGTTCTCGACCGAGGATCAGTAACGCCGCTGACCGGGCAAAAATCGTGCCACTTCTATGAAGATAAACAACTTCTGAAGTGGATTTCATCGTGAAGAATCTGGGTTGCAGACTTTTTACAAGCCCGAGGTTATCGGTGACAAAATTGCATTAAAGACGATGTGAACTGTGTTGGTGAGAGGCAATTCGTAAACAGTTTGGAGGAAAGCTGATGACCATTACTTACTTCAGGCTTGAAATATCCCTTCACAAGGTCGTGAAATCACGCAGTCAATACCTATTTCGCCGGAACTTCCGTAGTTCCGGCTTAAGGGATTTACTGGCTGCTTTTAAATCTCCAGAGACTTCTCAAAGGGTCTTTATAAAACAATACAGCTTCACAGTCACGAGTTAACTTGGAAGGCAGCTGGCGACATCGCTACTCACGCAAAGTTCAGATTAAAACAAATGACATTGATTAAAATAAGGTCCCACTCATTATCCGACAACGTCATTTTGGTGTGTGTTTCCACACAAACCTCTCCCGATAATTTCAGTATAAATCTTTACTAATTACGTGATGCATAGTCTTAACTAGGCTTCAAAATTGATTTTGAATTCTTAGTAACCAAGAAGTTACAATGTTTATCCTTCTGACTTGGGAATATCTTTCATCCTCCAATCGGTTAGGACCAATCACTAGGGTTGGCAATGGTCCCACGATGTTTATGCTTCTTGATTATGCTTTTACCATAAAACTATGCTTTTTGCATCCACATATTGTCGTTTTCTGTACCCTCGAAAGATATTGGAATTCAGTTTACTGCGTGACCAATCTGGTTTGATCACGCTTGTTCGGAAGTTGATTTTGTTCCTAGAAATTCCGGGTCTAAAGGAATGAGATGATGCTGGCAATACCTATCTATCAAAATATCAGTTTGCCTAAAAATACGCAAACAATATAAGTCTCCACTAAGGTAAATGAATGACCAACTCATTCGTTCATGATTCGTGATTTCCATGGATCTAAGTTCATAAAGGTTCAACAATACGCTATATTTGATGCCTCGTGCTCTGTTCATATTCCTGCCGTACTAGTTGCCATTCATTGTACCCATATAGTTTATATTATTCATGCCGTACTGGTTATATTCATGCCGTACTGGTTCTACAAGCGAGCAAAATCTCTCAGGTTTTAATGGTGATCTATTTTATTCATGTCTTGAATTGATCTACATTAGCCATACATGCGTCCATAAGGCTGCAATGAGATAAATGAACGCTACTCACTGTATGTGAAGAACTCGTCCCCGATGTGTGTTCAGCTATTGGTTTCTCCCACCAGATTGGCTTCCAGCTGCAACAGATGCACAGCATACGTCATTGTCAGCATGCAACGGGGACGTACATGCCCTGATGAACTCTGCCCTCATTACGAAGTAGCATTATATATCAAAATTATCGGTATGTCAGTACATAAAAGACAATAACTCAATATTTGTACTACTATTGTAAATTCAGCATTTTATGCATAGCAGGGTTCGGAAATACCTGCCTGTCCAAACAGCCAGGGACGGTTATTTTGAACACGGACTGCCAGATTCTCAAATTCCCTCCTGCCCGACAGTCCGGTTAAAAGGATTTATACATGTATATATGGAAGATATTTTCTCGTGGGCAGGTAAGTTTCTTTGGTCAGGGGCTGGCAAGTTTAAATCTAACCAACCCTGGTCTCGGCTGAATTTTTGGGAGGTTTCCTTACCCTGCCATAAGGGCAGCAGGAATTCATTTGTGGTTCAAGCCAGTCACCACTCCAAGGTCAGGTTCTGATTCCCCACAGTGGGTGCAAAACGTGAAATCTGTTTCTGGTAGTCTCTGGAATATTGCCATAAGCGGCGCAATAACACACTCCAGCCACTCATTTATGTGCTCATTGGCTCCTAAGTTCCAGAAAATGTAAATCTATAACTTAATTTGAACCTTTAAAGCCTAGCATGTCCGATGTTTATTAAAATGGCTAGGTAGGATGCAAAGTGAGGTATTTCCAGTTTACAGTATAGGCGCAACGAATCACCAGTAAGCTTGAAACCAAGTAGCTTGAAAAAATGAATGGTAAAGTCTTACCAGAATTATTCTCATTATTCATCATTGATCATACTATGTTTTGTATTGCATTACCATGCTTCTATCGACACTTTATAGTAAAATCTAGATTCATATTGGAAACAAGGGCATCTCTATATTGCTTTTCATTTTAAGATAATTTCAGATGCAGTTCATCAATTATTAGTTATACATACGGCAGCATTAACACTCGTTCTATAATCCGATAGCCTCGCTACGCCGTCAGGACC